AATATAAATAGATATACGATGCAGCATGACTTAAGCTACTATATAAAAAAAATAAAAGTCGCATACATCCCATGCAGTATTTTCCAGAAGCAAGTTTTCTAACGCTTATAGAAAAGCACTATTGGCCAATCCTAAATACAACCTCTACATAAAATGGCAGTTACTATAATAAGCACCACCCAAATTCATATTGTAAAATCCAGAGAACAACATTTCGTCACATGCTTTCCTTATCCTATAAAATACATCCTATGAAAAAAGTGAAATACAGCGATTGGTATAACATGGTACTGAAATTGACACCTTTGACTAGGATTGGCTAAAAGTTTTACAACTGAGGTTTAACATGCCCAGATGCTGTTTTATAAAGAAAACAGACTAGAAAAAGGTTTAGATAGTAATCATAGATGGCAGATGCTGAAGTGGAAGGAAAATGTTTTTTAAATTTTGAAAAAAATTTCTTCTTAGAGGGTGCTTATTTACAGTCTTAAACATATTTTAGGATTTTTTTCATTAAATAGCTCTTTAAACTTCATTAAATAATTGAATGTTATGCGACTATTTACAAAAATAAAATCTGAAATCCAATAAAAGTTAAGTTCTCTATAATTTTTTTAAATTCACAAATGTGATTTTACTCTCATGATAAGATCAAAATGGCCACGGTGGGTAACATAATTACTAAAGTACTGAAGACTTAATCATAAAAAACATTATAATCTACATTAGAGTGTGTACCCAGGAATATGGGGTTGAAATAGAAATATCAAGAACAACTAGTTTTACACATTTCCAGTTCAGGATCTTAAAGATACTAAAATAAATTTACATGTACAAATGTCTCTTGTAAACTCTATATGTCAGAGTAACCAGTTTCTTTTTCTTTTCCAGGTTTTCTAAAGGCTTGCTTTTTTTGACTAACCTCTTTTGCATGTTGGTAGGTTGACTAATATAAGATCCAACTAGGTTTGGATTTTAAACCTTACAGTGGGTTTCTTTTCCATAAGAACATAATTATTATTTCTCTGATAATAATGACCTAAAACTAACAGCTAATAAATTAACATGTTTCTAATATTAATGTATAAAAATACTTTTTATTGAGGCATAAAACTTAAGTTTGTTTTTGCACAAATGCATGTATATGTAAAAGGACTTTAATATTATCTCTTTTTTTTTTTATTGAGTGTTTTGAACTGTATTTTGAAATCCATTTATGACTTTCATTTATGTCACATTTGGCACTTTAATAAATCTATGTCTCAGTTGTTAATGGTTAAGATTTTAAAAAGCACCTAAATATGCAGTGAGATTTAAGATCTTTAACATCAGTGAACTTGTAACATGTACTCCTCAGTTGTTAAGGCTTTTTGTATAAGTGTAAGTGTTCATACTGTCAAAACCTATTTAAAGAAAACCTAGTTAGTATGTATCACCTTTTCACCAGACATAGTTTGAAGTATTTAAAACTCTCATAAATAATATGCATATATATAGTTTGACAATTCAAATTTCACTTTCTTTGGATATTATGTTTCAAATAAGAACTTGTTTTATTCTTTAAACTTTTACAGTTACTTAAAATGACTTGCTCTTTACAGAACCAGTTGTGTAGTTTTTCTTATTTTCTTATTTTCAGTTGGGGTGACTAGTCCTCATAGATGTCCATTTAGGGACATACATCTTATTGAATCTAGATACAAGAAAATTTTCTTAATGGTCCAAAAAATATTTTGAAAAAGGAATCAGCATAATACTTATGGATAAAAGATCCTTCAGAGATTGTACTACAACTAATAGTAGGTGGAACATGTAAAATTATAAAACCACTAAGTGATGTTTTGATCATAATTTTAAAACCATTATATTGGAAATAGAGAGTTACATCAGGGATGATAGAAACTTTATTGACAAATTACCAAAACAAACAGAACCTAATCACAGTTTAGTGACTGGATGTAGTTTCACTGAATCCCAATATCAATAATGAATAAGGATTGAAAGCAATTTAATATTTTTTTGGACCATTATGAAAATGTTCTTGTATCTAGGTTCAATAAGATGAACGTTCTTAAAGGTTTAAATATAATTCTTGATAGAGTAATATAAAATAAAATGTGGATGTAAACTTTATTTTAACTAGGGATACACGGGTAGTACAATTTGGCTGAATACTGGGTCCAGGTACCCAGCCTAAGCTTTAGCTGGGACCAGGTTCTCCCCCCCCCCCTCTCCCATAAACAAATAAGCAACATACACAGAAATTAGAAACAAAAACAAAATTGACATTTATTACATTTAACCGAATAATCACCGATACAACATTCCAGTTTTACTTTCAACTTTCAATATAAATTAACAAAAATGTGCACACCAGTTTGCAGAA